AACATTCAATTATCGATTTTTTTTTTTGCGAATTCTGCAGCAAGTTATTTTTTTTTTATAATAATACTCCCGACTCTCTAACCCGACGTTCTAACGTTATAACGTTATAACATTATTGCTTCTACCCTCCTTCCGTCAATTTTTTCATTTTGGTCAATTACTGAATTAATGACAGAGCGTGGAATTAACCTAATGTATGTGGAATAAACGTAACTACTTGCCGTAGTTCACCGATGTCGTCGGCGGTCCAGAACCCCGTCGTCGTCGTCGTCGTCGTCGTCGTCGTCGTCGTCGTCGTCGTCGTCGTCGTCGTCGTCGTCGTCTCCGATGGATGGCAGCGAAGAATTTTCCAGCTGGGCTGCAATGAAAAGTATTGCATTTCATTACAAATTAGTTTACAGTTGTTTCAGTTTACTTTTTTTTTACAAACATATTTGCATACATTTTTATTATAAACACATTTTTTAGAATATTCTTTCAATTATCCAAGATTCAAGTAGCATTCAATTATCCAAGATTCGATAACAATTTTTTTTCTTTTTCGAGTTCGGTATTAGATTACTTTTTTTTTTTTATAACAACGCGCCCGACTTTCAAGCTTTTCACTAAACTCGCCCGCCTTTGCCGAACGAACACAGCGAATAAAAGGTAACGATGAAACAGAAAAATTATTAACCAACTTGTTATACGCTTCGGTATATACTTCTCGCCAGCGGCTCAACTAAACAAACCGTTAAGTGGCGTGCGTATCTAAACAGAAACTATTTAAGAAAAACACCATGGGCAAACAAAGAGAAACCGGGTGGTGTTGAGTTACACGCTTCATCGACGGCCACCGAGATAACGAAAATGCGCGTCTCTGATTTTGGAAAGCAAGCTGAGGACTACGCGTCGCCAACGGTTGAAAATTACGTACTTAAATAAGAAAGAAGTAAATGCGAACAACTTGATACTGCCGCAATGTCCCGAAATGTAACATAAAATAAGTTTATTCTAACAATTTTCTAACACAGAATTCACCGAGAAAAGAAATACACGCATCGCGTGCAATATTCCATCTTTGATAACAGTAAGAAGAAAAGCTTACCATTGTCCTCAAACTTCCACGTTTTCCACTTGCGAACTTGCACACTTTCACACTTTACTTAGTCCTTCCTTCAACGAACGCACAAATCGTACTGCTGCCTTCTGCCGCCACGCGCGACACTCGAACGCGTCCTTTCTCGACTTCAGGTAGTACAATCGATACTCGAAGTGGCGCCAGTGTGACGTAATAAATTTGAATAAAAAGAACGGTAATCGCGTTATACAATTGTACGATGCAATTACCGATAGTAGCATTTTTCAAATAATAACACTTTTCTAACAACTAATTCACCAACTAGAATATACGAATAACGTCCTTACAGTCGTTTGAAAAAGAGTATTTCAGAGAAGTTTTTGTTCAATGGAGAATAAAAGAAAGGAGATTTACAATATTCAAATTTATTCACACAAATTTCATATACAGTCAAGAATAATACACGCAGGCTAGAAAAGGCTGATGGAATCTCTCCACGGTGGTGCGAAAATCTCCTCGGCAAATTGAGCTGCAATAAAATAGCGAAGAAAAAATAAAAAAAAAAGGACAGATATACATACGCACCTTGGTAGTTCATTGAAAACAAATTATTAATTCAATGTTTACCTTCGATCCATATAAACATCCTTTGTTTTCTCGTTGAAGCTCCATCAATGCTGCATTCTTCGAATGGTTCTTTGGTGGCAGACAACGTTTCGTCTTATTTCCCTGGTTCATTTTCGCTCATTATTGTTTCGCCCCCCAACACATCTGTTTAATAAAGCTCGACTATTTAACCCTTTGCACTCCAAGCATTTTTTGATAAGATTAGATAGCAATTTCAGTGTACTTTTCAAAATATAAAGATTTGTTAAGAAAGAAAAGATTTTTAGTGTTTAAGTTGCGTTATTTTATTAAAAAACTTGAACATTTCCAAGTTCTCCAGAGTAATGAAGTATGTCGCCATAACAGCGCCTTTGGAGTGCAAAGGGTTAAATCTTCATACATTGACTTTATGGATGTAACCATCCAGTTCGTTATTAGCTTCAGCGCGTTGCCAATCACACCAACTATCAGAACCTTCTGGACAAAAGATATGTTGTGAATTTTCGGCGGTCGAAATCCTTTTCTCATTTCGGAATCCTTGTTCCTCCTAATTCCTAGTCTGTGATAAGATGACCTTTTCTTGCCTGAGTAAAACATATCTTACAATAACTTGGAACATATCTTACAAGACACTTAAAACTATCAATTTATGAAAACTGAGAAGGGTCCTTAATTGTACGTGTCTATCATAATTACAAGTGAAATCCAGCAGAAGAATATGTCCTTTGCAGATGCCAACCTCCACGGAAACTTCTCCAAAGTTTGTTCCAGTTAAGATTGTATATTTCCTACAATAAATGTACCACAAAAAGATTAATATTGTTCATTTCAACTATGTTGCAATTATCGCTAATACTAATAACATATGCTATTTTCAACGTTCACTCTTACATGCTTACCCCAATTCCATAATATTCAAATGCATGTGTATTCAAATGCAGAGTGTTCCAACAATGAAAAATAAGCACTTTGAGATACGCCTGGAATAGAAATATACGTACCATACCATCATTCTTCGATTTTTTCAATTCGCCACCTTCTAACCTTTCGCCCAATTCTTTCCGCGATAAACTCCTGTTGCCAGTTGTTGCGAAATGTCTAAATTAATATCTTACATTAAATATTTCAAGTTCCTTTCGCTGGACTGTGAATCCAAAGGCGGCAAATGTGAATAAACTGTCCTTGATAATTATGACGTACGATTTCCTTGCATCTTTGGTACTGCGTTAAGTAAGAAAATTCAGTTTTACAGATTAAATCGAAAATTGTTATCGAATCTTTGAACCGTAAACTTACCGCCTAAACGAAATACATAACCTTGTCCGTTCGTACAACGTCGTTCGCCTAACTCCAAACACGTGCGCGCGAGAGCAGAAAAAAATGGCAACTCTGCCACATGACACACACACCACACAATCATATGCCGATGCTTCTGCCATCTATGAGCTGTTGCTAGAAGCTTCAGTTTTCGTACCTGCTGTTAGATGGCACCTGCGGAAGAAAGCTACTTCCTTATTTCAAAGCTGTCCGTTTCCTCTCGCTGGAGTGTGAATCCAAAGGCGGCAAATGTGAATAAACTGTCCTTGATAATTATGACGTACGATTTGCTTGCATCTTTGGTACAGCGTTAAGTAAGAAAATTCAGTTTTACAAATTAAATCGAAAATGTTTTTATCGAATTTTTGAACCGTAAACTTACCGCCTAAACGAAATACATAACCTCGTCCGTACGTACAACGTCGTTCGCCTAACTCCAAACACGTGCGCGCGAGAGCAGAAAAAAATGGCAACTCTGCCACATGTACACACACATCACACAATCGTATGCCGATGCTTCTGCCATCTATGAGCTGTTGCTAGAAGCTTCAGTTTTCGTACCTGCTGATAGATGGCACCTGCGGAAGTGTTTGACGTTCGAATTGTCCTTTTCTTCCCTATCTGTACGTCCAATTTAAAATGTCAATTGTTTCTGGGTCTGTAATTTAAATTTACTCTAACAAAATTTCACTTAACCCTCTATGGGCCGAGTATTTCTCTTGACTGTAAAAGAATTTATGTAACGTGAAATTAGCAAATGTCGACCTATAAAGGCAGAATAACAATGAATTCAGCAGTTTCGACAATTCTATCATAACGAATACATATTGTAACTTTGAAGTAACAACGGTTATCAAGAAAGATAATAAGGAGACATTGTACAACAAGACGTTTATGCCATTTTGTGGAAAAAAGTTGAATTGTTTAATAAAATATCGATATATTAGTATGTGACTTGAAAGTTACACGGGCCCATAGAGGGTTAAATTGATTGGTTTAGATAAAAGTATACTCTAATTCCCCTGACAGATGTGTAATTCAAATATTTGAGTTCAAATTACATACTAATATGGATTATTAGAATCACTACACAGATAATTTATATATTAAAGTGAATACACCTCCACGCGGTGTTATTTCTTGGCGTACAATTGTTCAGCGAATCGTCGTGATAGGTAACCTGTTGGGAGTTACGCAGCAAGTAATACGATCGAGACGTGACGGATAAAACGAAAGGGTTCGATCGAATAGACGTTCGCAAATTCGTCGATATATCGAGGAGTTACCAGCGATATATTCCGTTTGAATTCTTTGAAAAAAGAGCTTTCGTTTCCCTTTTCCAAAAAAATAGGTACATTGATTCGAATTTTCGGAAACAACCAGTCCATTCAAGGAAGGTCAGTTTTTTTTTAAACATATCAGCGACATTCCGACAATTTTTTTATTTTCGGGTTAGTTTTTTCTTTAGAAACATATTCCCTAGGGTTTGTCTTTCCGAGTTGGGTTAGTTCTTTCTTTAGAAAAATATTCCCCAGTGTTTGTCTCTCCGAGTTGCGAATTAGTTTATTTTACAAGCATATTTGCGAGGTCTTATCGACGAAGATTCGATCGACGTAAGATTCAATTATCGATTACTTTATCAACCGATTATTTCGTATCAACCAAGATTTAACCCTTTTCCGCTTTATTTTTTTCGAAAAATATTCTCATATTGCCGACACGGTTATTTATCGGCGTTCTTATCTCCCGACTTTGGGAGAAAAAGCCCGAAGACCGTTACAACTATTTCGGCCCGATTCCGAAGCATCTTTTAAAATAGAAAAAAAGAGAAAGAAGAAGGAACGAAAGAAAGAAAGAACGAAAGAAAGAAAGAATGTAAGAAAGTAAGAAAGAAAGTGACGAGAAAGTTTGTCAAGTTAAAAGTACTTGACCTATTTTATGTTCCCATACATAAGTACATTCATCTTTCCAAGAAATAATTAAAATGAAATTTTATTTGAAATTTACATATGCGCTTGGTATTCGAATCTTGTAGATCCTCTTTTCGTGAAATTCGTTGAAAGGTAATTTTGAGGTAATTTTCAATAAGGTTACCGCGCAAACTCTCCTGTGTACACCTAGTGTCGTTGCGCGCGAAAGCAGAAAAAAATGGCAACACATGTTTACACATACATACGTCGATGCCATCTTGTTGCAGAAAGTATAAGTTTTCGTAGTTGCGTCCTACCTACAGATCGGTGTCCTACAATAACCTAGGATTGAAACGTCCCATATGGAGTATGAGACCAGTTGGATTGTGCCGTACGAAGTAGAGGAAAGGTTGATCCAATTTCAATCTGGGTTTCTTTTCGACGCTCCTTTTCCTCCTCGTTGCCCTCTTTGTTGGAATTGTGCTGTGCGAATAACTTTGCTCGGAAAGTTGTCTTGAATTTCGTAAGGAAGGACTAGCTGGATAAATTTCCACGTGGTGTCGTCCGTTAGCTATGTTTTCGTCGCCACACGTACTGAACAGATTCATCTGTAAAACGTCGGATAGAAAGAGACGATTTCCAATTCCTTTGAAATCAGCATGACTAGAAAATAACCGATCGAGGCCCATTCTTTTCAAGGCAGCGGTAGCGTTTACAACAGATCGATGACTAAATTTTGGTATTTGTAATTCAAGGGCTGTTCTAGGTATAAGAACCTTGAGCAATTTATTCCAACTTCCATCCCGAAAGGCTCCTTTAACGAGCCTTTGCTCCAGACGATCCAACGTGTCACCGGGTGCAGCGTGACCCTGCTGACCGGGTAAAAGGAATATGGTCGAGACGAGCTTATCGGTACCACCGAGAGCGATCGCGGTCGCGTCTAAACTCGGCTCGTATCCGGCAAGTACGTTCGATCGCCAAACAGTGGCTGGAACAGGGATCAACTTGCGCAATCTGTGCGCGGATGAAACGGCGAAGTATAATTCCCCGTCTCGGCCTGTTGCACTGGCTGAACTTGTGTTGCAGTCTGTCTGAAAGACGTTTGCCGAAATGGCAGCAAGCGGTGATCTTAACGGAACAGCGTTGCTCTTGACGAAATCTTTTATCCTGCCTCCGGTTTGTTTTCGAATCAAAAGATTGGTTCGTCGACGCGCGAGATCGCTGATAGTAGCGAAATTTACTTCGGCCACCAATCCCTCGTAGAACTGTTGCGCCTGTTCTTTGTAGAACGGCAACAATTTTCTCACCTTGGCCTTGTCCGCGAACAACTCGCGAACAAATGCCGCGTTCGCGATACCCTGATGTCTCGCTAAGCTCACTGTATCGGTTACATTTTGAAAGATCAGATGAGGGTTGAAGGTGGCAACGTTGTCGAGTCCGAGTACTTCGTTCATTTGATCGGAAGTCGATCCTCGGGCACCGAGAAAAATCATCGCTAACAGACTGATCGTACCGAACGGAGAAAGGGCAAGTGACCTTCCGGTACTCAATCCTTTGTTGGCTGCGATCCAAAATTTCATCGCGAGTTCGTTGCAAAGTCTCGCAAAATTGACCATGTCGATGCTCGCGTTCCTCGTACTACTGTCCAACCCGCTGATGCTCTTCGAGGCGTCTAAAGAAACTGCTTCGATCTGCGATTCGATCGCTTGTGTTGTCGGATGTAACGATATTCGCTGCCAGACATGTTCCGTGCTGTTGTTCTCCTTTTTGCTGCTCTCTAACTGCTCTAAATCGATCGCGTTCGTTGCACTTGTGATACCTTCGTCCTCGTTTGCAGTGGTTGCGTGCAACCGCGAATCAATCGTGTCGTTCGAGCTATGAACCACCAACGGTCGGTCCTCCGCCGCATTGGAGGAATTTCCAGTCGTCGATTCGTCGTACGGTGCTGTGGTGTGATACGGTGTTACAGTTTCCTGGTTGGTGTCTTCCGTCGACGATACGTACTCTGTCGTAACATCTTGAGGGATTACCTCGAGACGTGTTATTTCCGATTCGTTATTTCCTCCTTGCAACTTTTCCGTAGGTTTGCTCGACAGTTCGTTTTGTTGTTGCGGCGGTGTTGGAGGTATTGTTGTAGAAGTACGTAGAGTACTTGCATTATCCAAGGTAGCTGAAGAAATGGATACCTTGGAATTGCCGTTCAATTTGGGTAATTGAAAGCCGGCGATAAGTGCGCTTGCTAAAGTGTTGGTTGAAAAATTGTTCGGTAAAGTGAGCGGTTCGGTAGCAACTGTACTTGCTTCGGTTGAAGCAGTGCGAAGTATATCGTCGACAATTGCAACCGGTTTCGAATTTAACGTCGTAGAAGTTACGTTTATTGCCAATGGAACGCTGTCGAATTTTGTCGTGAAAATTTCCGAATAGGTGGTCGTTTCGTCGAGATCTGTCGTCGCGTCGATCGATACGGTCGAGAAGATTTCCTCTTGGTCAACTTCGGTCGTTTCGTTTTGGTTGTGCGGCAGAGGTGAGATCGACGCTGTTGTCGATACTGTTGTAATTTCAGAAGCATCGTCGTCGTTGACCGATCCGATATCAGAAACGGCAGGTAAAACGGAAGGAACGTCTTCGGAGACCTGACTGATAACACTTGACAACGAATCGACCAATTCCACGGATAAAGGTTTGAAAGTTTGCGCTGACTCTAGGAGATCGTTTTCTTTCGTTACTAACGTCGTAGTATCGCGCGCTGGTATCGTCGAAGATTCGGTGGTAAAAGTGGATTGCTGTAACGGCAACGTGGTGAATGGTTGGTTTATCGC